GCAGGATTTAGGATACTCAGCACTTTGCAGGATAAGATTTTTAAGCAGCACCAGGGTATGTATCACTTCAGTATTTGTTCATGGTAAGAATATTCAGGTCATCTGAGACCTTTCTTGAAGCTTAATTTTGTACCTTGTGAGCTCCAGAAACTTAGATCAAAAAGAGCAACTTAGTGGATAACTAGTGAAGATGACTTCTACATCTCATAATGGATAGGCATCATGATAAATGCAATGAAATCTGCCTGAAACTTATGCTCAAGGACACGAGTGACTGGTGCCTCTTGAATCTGGGGAGGGCACTGAGAAGCCACCAACGGCAGCGGCCCTGTCAGAGGGGTTACCAGCCCTACTGACAGCATCAGTGTCAGCTGTTGGGGGGGCAACAGCCCCATCGGGGGGGGGGGGGGGGGGGGGGGGGGCGTGCACCCCCGTGAACCCCTTACCAGTCGCCTATGCTCAAGGACCTGTCAAAACTGGCTCCTTAACGGAGGAGAAGGCATATACTTACTGAATGAAATCTTGGCTTTGCAAGAGTTTTAACATCAACTTGATTGAAACTTGCTCTCACCTAGGGAAACTGTGGGATAGTGTTTTAGGAAAGGAAGTACCTGCAGAAAGCTGGTGGCTTCTAGAACTAGTTATGATCTAAATATCTGGAATGAGTCATAACAACCAACACAAACTGTGGATGGAAGGAATCTTAGCTGCCCTCATTAATGATCCAGGGACATATGTATATTTTTTCCTTCTTCTACATATAGACATAGGGATGCTTATTTCAGCATGCACACATATGAACATGAACATTGGAAAGGGTACTTCTTTGGGTTGGATACTGATCTCACAATAAATCCAGAAGAAAGCAGGAGTAACTTCACTGAAATGAATGGAGTTGCAGCAGCAAGCAGGATCAGCTTTCTGTATGTATTAGTTGGGTTTCTCTGTGTGCTCAGAACTGCGGGGCTATGAAAGTGGCTCACTTTAAACTCTGATACTAAGCCATTTATCTTTTATCTGATACTTGCAAATTAAGATAAAACAAATTCCTGTCTCTTCAACTTGCAAAATGAACTAAACCAAAACTCTGCCATCCTGAGAGCTGACAAACTAAGTCTCTGCCAATCCACTCATGGGAAGTAACCAAATCTTAAATGTTTCATGTGCCCTGCTGGATTCCTACCCTGACAGCAACCAATATGTCACTGCATCCTTTTCACTCTATTGGCATCTTTGTCACGTTAGCACATTAAAATTTAATGGCTGTTATTTATTAAAGGATTCAAGGTCCAAAATCAAAATTCAATTAGTAGCACACACACAAAATGCTTGCTCTTTTTGTGATAAAACCCAGGACTGTGTAGATCTAGCACAAGGACAGGGTATAATGCAAATCGCTCCAAGTCCTTCTTTCTTGCTGAGACTAACAATACAATTTATCTAAATTAGCAACCATTCTGTTTTCTTGCCTAAGCTGTTTTACCTCCCCCACCCCCACCAGCTGCTAACACTTTTCTCAAGGGATTGTTATTTCAAACACCCTGGGCTGACCCAAGATGGGAGAGGTCAGTGAAGGAAATGATTGAACAACAAGATACTTCCCAGCCAGGCGCCAGCATACTCTTTAGTGAGCACACAGTTCAGCTCTATGGGGGCAGGCATTTAATGGTAAATGGTAGCTAAGATTTCATGGAGCTCATGGGTGGCCTTTCGGACACAGCCACAGATCATCACTTTTGTTGTTGTTAGTGCTGATGTAAGCTTTTAGTTCTGGGCCTGAAAAGATGTTTAGCTCCACAGTAATAGACAGGAAGCACAGGAACTTGGAGTGCTGAGCTATCGTGGGAAGAAATGAATGGGAAAGAATGGTCTTATACCCTGCCCTCTCCCAAGAATGGTCTTATACGTTGTAGCTTGGCCCATTACCTGGAGTATGATTCTATCCCTGTATTGAAAGCTCTTTTGGAGTACTTTCTCTCACACTACCCAGGCTGGTTCAGTAAAATTCATGCCTGATAAAGAACTGATCATTTGCCTCAGGTATCTCCTTCTACATGAAGGTTGCTTTCCTGGAATGGGAATTCTTTGAAATGACATTTGCACAGTCACACTCTTGGGATGTGCCAATGGCACAGCTTGCACCAGTGAACTTAATAGTTGCATTGCTTACTGGGGCAGACCTATGTTCACTTATTGCTCCCTTCAAAGGTCTTAATGATCAGAAGCTGGGGCTGAGAAGGGAGGCTTGGCATGCACACTACTTGAGTTCCTTCTAACACCTCCTCTGGTCCAAAGCTGAAAGCAGAAACCTAAGGAAGAGGGGAAGGGGTGGATGTGCATACAGGTATGGTGGTAGTGGAGTATGACTCTGAAGAACTCTGGTTATATATGATAAAACTTTATTACTTCTTTGAGTAGTTTCTGCACATTCACACTCTAGGCAATCTGTCAGGCAGTATTCATTCATACAGAGTGCTGAAAGAAGAGTCTTGGTTAAACAAGGCATTACCACACTGTGGACTTGCCTCCCCTTAGATCTTTAAAAAGCAGCTGCCACCACTAGTGAAACTGGAGCTGGAGGGCTTTATAAGGATGAAAAGGAGGCAGCTAATACAGGTTGTCTCATTTTTTAAAGACTGTCTGCCTAGGTATTTATTGTCATCTCTAGTAAGCCATCTAGAATTGGTAAGATAATCTTACCCATTATAGTATGACATTGTACCACGACGTCACCTGCAGTGACAAAATGTCAGCACAGAGATTATTAAAGGTACTTCAACGTATGAAGTGGGACTGTTCCACTGACTTCAGGGTGGTCCTGCAAAAACCAGGATGCACGTTATAATTTGCGTAGTCTGATGCTCTTACAGCGAAGAGACTTCAGAATGGGCTTTACAGATCTGCCTTTCCTCGCTGCTGGTGGACATACAGAGTTATTTGAATATAATGCTGCACGCATTTCTTCACCTTGAATTTACCCTCTGTATGCATGTGCAGGTGCATGCATTAAAATCCACAATAACCAGGCAGGTCTAGCGGGATGATTATTTGAAAAGATCAGTTAGACTCTTCCCTAAATTCAGGTTTAGCTCCCTTTGCTAATAAGACTTCAGTAAGGATGGACAGAAGAAACCTGCCACTCTGCTCAAGATGCTGAGACATGTTTGGGCCATGCTCAGAAAGGTGATAGCTAGGGACCAGCTGCAATCTTTGTGAAATTCACCAGGTACCTGGCATTTCCAATCATTAGTTATCTACTCTCAGACTTTATTCCCTTCCTCTCATGATTGCTGAGCTTTTGTTATTTACAGGGACACAGCCTGTTTGCAGATGATAAAATTCATTATTAGTGAAGCACTGTGTAATTATCCACAATTACAAGCTGTTACTAGAACTATTATTTAAAGACATGAGAATAGATAAGTCACCTCTCTATTTAGGGCCCAATTCCATGAGTTCATATGCAAAAATCTCCCAAAGAATTTCAGAGAAACTTCTATGCTGGGCCCACCAGAGCACATTGTGATTTGTTTGAAAGCCAAGAGGAATGAAACATCAGTTGTGATATGGACATGAAGAGAAACTAATGCAATGCTATCAGGTTCAGACATAACTATTCTCCTCCTCACAAACACAAACAAGAAAGGGAAGAAAGTGAACAGAAAAAAATTATGAGTGAGCATGTGTGTTTGTGCATGCGTGGGATGCTTGCTCATCAAATAACTGAAATCTTCAGGATCATCAATACTGCTGAAATTATATAGTAGATTTTAGTCCTTGTGGCTGAGATTTTCACCTTCAGTGCAAACAGCTGCCTGCTTGCTTAAGTTTGCGAAGGAAGGTAGGAGATAAAAACTATAGTAACAGTATAAGTTGGTTTAGGAAATCCAGGTTCCTTTGGCAATAACTTGTGTCTGCACAATATTGCTTTTATTTAGCAAATAAAACACTTGGGTTGGGTGTCTGCACATTTGCAACAAAAATGACAGGACTGCAACATGGTATTGCCAATTTTACTGAAGTCTACACCCAGCTCCTTCTTAAAGGGTGCATCTACACGTGCAATTAATGTGAAGCAATAAACTCCAAAGCAGTTTGAGCTGCAGTAAGTTACTCCAGTAGTATAGCATAATGCTGACATGTGCCCAGGGTAGCAGCAATTTGATCCGGGGGGAGCAGGCCCACACTGGCAGAGAGTATGTGGGGGATCAGCCCTGAGCTCTGGGTGGCAGTGCTGGGTGGTGGAGGGACTGGCCGGGGCTTGAGGGTGCTGAAAATGCAGAGCCATGTGGATAAGTAGCGGGCAGAAGTCTGACCCTGGCTGATGGGGAACAATTTAAGCCCACAGTCAGCATCTACATGTGTGTTTAATCATAGTAAATTATCCCGGTGTAAGACAGTACTGTTCCTGACAGTATTCTCTTATGCTGGTGTAAATTAGTTGACTGTGGCGTCATGCCATTGCACGTGCAGATGGTGATACTTTATTCCATAGCTAATTAGTCGACTGCAGTAAAGCGAATGTGTGGATGCAGTCACAGTGTGTTGTATGAACTGGTTCTTTTTTCAAACATTAGAATCGGGGTTGTTACAGGGGATGGGCTGAACCTTGTTGTCAGGAATTTCTGTCCTTTCAAAAACAGAAATTATAGCTCAGTGGATGAGATCCTAAACTAGGGTAAACTAAAATGGTGTAGCTCAGTTGGTATGGCCTATTATTTTCAAGGACGAGAGAAACCAGGCTAGAACTAAGCCTCTCAAAGTTTTCCTACTTACACTTCTTATAGCTATGCATTAGAATTTTTGATTTTTGAAAATTGCTTGGATAGGAGAATTATTTTTATATAATTGTAAAATGACAGCAAATATTTATAGGGAAAAAGGAAAAAAATAACTAACATGCCCACCACAGGAGGTACAAGCTTGCAATCCACATACAGATCAAAAAGATGAAACCACCTAAAAAATCTAGTATGGGTGTGGTGCTCAGTTACCAATATGATTTTATGACAGAATTGCCAAAATGGACTATGTAAAAATAATAGAACAAATCCTCCATTCATATAATGACATGAAGTCAGTAGATCTGTGGGCATCTACCCCAGTTGAGCACCTAACCCTAAATTTCTAAAATGATTGAGTAAAAGAGTAGAAGAATATGTCCTGCCATGACAGGCTTGATCTCTGTACTATAAAGCTATTTTCCAGTGCTTTATTTCTGTTTGGTTTTAAACATTTCAAACAACAGGTTTTCTTCCATTAAAAGTCTGTTCCTCAGTCTAACAAATGTTGACTGGGATTTTCAAAAGCAATCAGCATTGTCTTAACTCTGCTCCCACTGAAATCAATGGGAACTGTTAGCTTCCCTGGGAACTGAGTTAAACTAATGCTAAGCCCATCTGTCCTTTACTTCTCAGACAGTCTCTAAATTATCTTTTGCTTGTTTTTCAAGTATTTCCAATGGACCCCAAAGCTATTCCTTGCCTTCTCTTTTGATTTACACATTACAACAGGGACAATTGCTTTAAAGTTCTTATTTATAAGGGATGCTCTGGAAAATGAAAAGGCAAAGGCTAATTTGGTAGGTAGAAAGTTACAGGTAATGCCAGAGCTGTACAAAAGTTGTTTCTCACCTTACGTGTTAATCTTCTCTTTATCTCCCGTTTCTCCTCCTGCTCCTCTTGCTCGTTCCGAGCTAGAAAAGATTTACGAGGTTCTCAGTTGGAGTGATCAAGCATCCACAGTGTGCAACCAATACACCTCTTCAGCAGTACAGGCCAAGTCCATCCAGTAACTGAACTTCCCTAGCCCCTTGCTCGCAATAATTTCATTTCCTAGTGTCTCACTTTCTAGCACCACCAGAAGGGGAATGTTTAGAAAACATTGTCCCAATGCCCAAAAGTCCAGGGGCCTTGGAGTGAGCAGAGATGATACTGCAAGTCTCTGAGGGGTGCAGGCTCAGTAGCATAATTGAGGGGGTGTAACTGGGGCAGCAGTTCTGGGCACCATCTGTGTGAAGGGGCACAAAATAGCTGTGATGGCAGTGGTGGCTGTTTGCATTGCTGTGATTGGCACTGTGGCAACCAGCGCTGCTCTACCTCTGTATAGGCTGAGGGTACCAGCACAAGAAAAAGGCAAATATATTTTTCCTTGGACACAGAATTTGCTGACAGCCCTTCACTAGAAAGAATGGAAAGGAAGCCAGTGGGTAACATCCCAAGCATGGCACACAGATGAGCTTGCTGTGGTCTGAATTACTGACTAGCAGAGCAGTTAGAGGTTCCTTTTGAAATGAGTCTTTGTAGCATAGCAAAGAGGCACCACAGCCCACAATAAATGGCACTGTGTTTCAAAACTTAAAATAAAAAAGAGGCCACACAGGGCAGGTTCTGACCAAGACAAGCCTAGACCTTAAAGAGTTAACCATCTAACACCACCTCCTCTGTTAAAGCTTCACCAGCATCATAGATCCCTCAGCATCATAGATCCCTCATCTTAAAGTAAGCGTGTGGTAAAATTTTCAACAGCACATCTGTCCCATTTTCTAAAGTCCCTTAGGAATTTAACCCAATAGGACTTAGGGTCCTTAGTGCTTATATCACTTCTGAAAATGGGAACTGTATTTGTGAGGCCTCATTTACGTTCTGTTGACTCTGCAGACATCGTGTCTTCCTATATACTTCTGCTGGCTCTCTATGACTCTGCTCAACAGCTGTGCTGCTGGGCACAAAGTATGCTCTGGGAAGGCACCAGCAGCTGAATAGACTATGGCAGCCAGCTAAAGGCATGGGACCATCTGCACCTCTTCAGCTGGCTGCTGGGCTGGGCACAAGCCTAACTTTATGTGGAATAACTCTGCCAATGGAAAGAAGGCTTCTGTTGTCACAGTAGCTTCCAATGTGGATACCCTCAATGTTCTGCTGGCAAAACTGGACTTCCGGTGGCCAGACTTTGGAGTTGTAGGCTACAGCTGAGTCGTTTAGGGATTATCTTCATTTCAGAGCCCATTTGAGAATACCTTAAGACTCGCCCGTAACTTCAATTCCATCTGTATGTAAAACTCCTATGTAGAATGTCCTGTTGCCTTTAACTCAACTTGCCTCACTCAAGGTGGGTACAGAATAGCAGCATCAGCACGCTTGCTCTGTATAGTCAAGTGATGTTTTAAATGGTGGCTGTTCTTATTTGTACTGGGCTAGTGAGTACCTATAACTCTGCAGTGAAGATGCACCCTTTCTAGACAACTGAAATATGAAGGTAGGTAATTAGTTAATAACTGATATTAATAAATACACGTCACAAAGAGATGCTTGTTCCTGGGCTGCTGCTGGTACACTCTGAGGCTGAGCAGCTTCAATAGCTTGTGACATAACAGTGCTTCACACATACAGTATAAGTGTATACAATGGCTTTCATCCAAAGACCTCAACACTTTGCAAAGGTGGGGAAATATCACCCCACAACCTCCCTCCTTTTACAAATAGGGAAGCTAAGATCTGTCCTCTACAGGGTTCTGGTACTGTTTTAACAGAATTGGCACAGGAACCAAAGTAGTTAAAAATCCATGCAGCGTTCTACCCTAGGCATTCTTAAATCAGTTTAGACTACCTAGCTTTCAGTTACTATTTCAGCTTAAGACACTCAAATTGACTGAAGGATGTCCACATTCAATGATCACACTGATTCAAACCAGCACAGTTTAAATGGTACTTAAATTGTGCACCAACAAGATTTGCAGCACAGAAAGGCTAAGTCCCCTGATGCATTTTCCAGACTACTAGAGGTGAAATAGCCATTGACAATGGCAAATAATTACCGTTCAGTGACTTCATCTTAACAAGTGTCTCAATTTCCCCTGCTCCTTGTTTTTACCAAGCTTTAGAAACAGCAGGGCAGGGTAAAACTTTCACCAAGTGAAAGTTACAACAGTGAAAGTTAGGATTTGGCAATATGTCCTCATGGCTAAAACTAAGTCATTCTAGATCTTCAGTGGCTACAGAACTGTTTGTTCTTTTGTAAATGCTCAGGAGATTTTTTCTTCCTGTCTAGACAAACGATTCTCATAATGTGGCCTCCTGGGGTACATTATTCTTTCAAGGGTGCCATGGGGTGCCACTCAATGTTAGCACTGGTAGGTGTGCAAACATGATTCACAACATAAACCCAAAAATTTCAAATAGGAAATCATAGTGTCAAAAACATTCTAACCTGTTGTGGCCTTCCTGAGTTCTTTTGCAATAGAAGAATTGCTCTATTATTTTTATGTAGTCAAAAAAGAGTAAAAACTAAGAGCTGGCACTTCCCAAGGGGTGCCTTGAGTCGAATGAGGGGCGTCTTTAGTTTAAAAAGGCTGAAAAGCACTGCTCTATACTGTATTCATGAGGGCTCGAATTTTGTGGCCTGACTTACGTGCCGATGTGAAATTTCAGCTGGAATTATGCCAGACTGAACAGACCCAATCTAACTGCCTTTTTACAGGAAACTTATGCTCTTGGAAAGCGCCACGCTGGTAACCCTAGAAGCAGAAGTACTTCATCACAGATACAGCACTCAGTCACTTTGACTGAAAACTAGCATGCCTACTATGGAAGGACCATCTGTTTGGGTAAGGAACAGATCAGGCTTTGTGCTTTTCCAGGGCATGAAACTGCAGCATGCTGAGTTCCTCATCTGAGATGTTGCATGACTTTGACTCCTATTTAAATCAGCAAAAGTGAAGGTTATGGTGTGCCACAGAGGAGATAGTCAGCATCTTTCAGGGTCAGTCCCTCAGTCCTCAGCTTCTCTGCTAAGGAAATTGTCATTTACTAGTGTCATTTGTGGCAGTGGGGTCTTGTGTTATGGATACACAAGCCCTGGGAATCCAATCCACTGGCACTCTCTCAATTATTCCAGCATAGTGGGGCTAGGAAATGAGCAGGTTATAAGTATGTAATTAAAGAAGGCATGTGCAAATGCAGCTTACTGCATTTGGTGTCCCCGTGCTCCTAACAGGGCTGATTCTATTTGTCAGTACATTTGTCATAAGATTGTCATGGTACCAAACATGTCATATGCATCAGGGAAATTTCAGCTCTAACCACAGAAGAAAATGTACTTACTCAGCTTGGGGAAAACCCCTCATGTTTACTTGTGCTGTCAACTGGCCTTTTAAAACAGTGTGATCTACTTGGAAACAGACCTCTAGACTTAATGTACTTCATTGTTCTATATGAATCTGTCCTTCCAGGCTGTTATAGACTCATTTAAATTCTGTCACTAAACTTTTAAGGAAAAGCATATGAAAATCACATTATATTGCTTATTTTGTTTTTGTTCATATTTTATTCCTTTTGTGATTTTTTGTTACATAATATTTTACTTATATGCTTATCACTCTGATGCTTATGCAATGCTTTATAAACACCATTATTATGTCATATAATTTTACATATTACATTAAATGATATTTTCTCCTGTAGTTAGGAATTTTTTTCATTTAGCAAGACAGGCCATTCTAGGGCAGATCTGTATTCAAAACCCTAACTAGTATGAGATTTTTATTTAGGTGCCAAAACATAATTCTAGATATTGGGCAAAAATTTCAAATGCATCCAGATAGCTTAAGATCCTAAATTGTATATTCAACAATATCTAAATGACTTAGGAAACTAAGTCACAATTTAATTCAATAGGCACTTTAGAACATTTTACTCTTACAAGTCCATTAAAGTATCCAGCACTGCATTTTTAGGGCACTTAGAGTGGCTCAGACATTGCTGCCAAAGCTGCATTGAGCTCCCAGTACCACTGCCAGTGCTAGCATGGTATTTATTGGTCATGCTCCAGTGCCAGGTGGTGCACGATACATGTTGGTTTATGCTGAATGAGAATTCTGGGATAAAAATATGAGTTCCCTGGAGAATGAGCTTCTGTTTTGCTTCCTTCCTCTGTCTTACTCTGTTCACCTAACTCTAAAAACAGAATCACACCTGTTCTGGATACCTTGCCTACTTTCCCAGGCACTCAAAGGCTAAATTCCTCTGCCTGACTAATACAGGAATCCGGAGTAAATGGTAAAGAGATGACATGTTCAGAAGTTGACTCCAGTTGAGTGGCTTTGCTAGCAGCCCCAGATTTGCTTGATCTGGCACTGCTATCTAATCTAATTTTATTTATATATTCATATCCACATAACTATTGGTCTCTTTATGTGCCATACTTGCAAACAATCACTGTAAACTACCCAGTAGTTTATTCCCCAGCTATTCTGCTGACACATCTTAGATATTTGATTGTTAAGTATTCAGTCAATTTATTTTACTCATTTCTTGAGACCTTACCACGCACTGCATGCTCCTAGTACTCTCTGCAACAAAGGAATTTAACATGCAAAACATATGTACTTTATGCTTACTCTTGTGATCCTGCCTAAAAAAAACCCCAAGTAATTTCTGCACATTATTTTAGAACACTTTTAAAAATATGTATTCCTAAACAGGATGCATCACTAGAGTTTCATAAAATTTCCCTCTGTTCTCTACACTTACACTAGTCACATTTAGATAAAGCATTTAGCTAAAAAGAGTTAACCTTCTTGCCTAGGAATAGAAATTACACATACACAGGTATAAGTGATCAGAAACTAGTTCAAATCTGTAACACAACAGAAGTTCAGTGCACATAAACTGCTTTCAAAATGGCTGAAACTAGTTTAAGATAAACTTGGACAGATGTAATATCAGACTCAACTGATTTAGGTTGAATTGGTTTATTGAACTTCTGTCCTCCAGATTCAAGTTAACTTACAGTCCCCCAGAATCCCAGGCTGCTTTGCACCTGCTCCGCGAACCCCGCCTTGTAAGTGGATGTAGCCCAAGCTATCTGCTCCAGCTAAGCAGGGAGGCATGGGCTAGTGTCATTCCCCCTGCCCTTTGCCTTTCAGCCTGGGCCATGGCAGGCATATGGCTGCATTTCCAGAATCAACAATCAGTGTCTGTTCACTTGCTTATCAGTTCAATCTATGCAACTTAGACTAACCTGCGAAAATTTAATCGATTCAGCCTTGGGCTTTTTGACTGTCTGTGCTTAGCCCTTATGTTCAGAACCAATTTGATTCAATTAAAAAATATAGTTTTCAGGGTCCAATTCATTTGTGAGATTAATTGTTCATTCTGGACTTGATACTGCTCCCCCTAAAAAAAAATAAAAAAAAATAATTTAAAAAAAATCAATGGCCAAATTTATGTTGTCTGGAATGAGAAAAGGCTCTCTGGGTACTATTTTGTAGCTTTCAAACAACATTAAATACTTAAAAGATGATTCATCTACCAATGGGCTTTGTATGCTTAAAGGAACAATACAGATTAGAATTTAGAAAAAATTCAGCTAAATCCTGAAGCCCTTAAGATTTCAAAGGGAGACTTCTCTGTGAGAGTACAAAATAAGAATTTTGGATGATAAGCCCAAATTGGATTTTCTTCATGGATTATTTGTGTGTGTGACCTTGCTGAATATGATTTTCACAGACATTCCCACTCAGACCAGTTCTAAAAATAGATATTATTGCTTATTTGCAATACACCTACAGCATATTTTATAGCTTACAGCATAACAATGGAAAAACATACAATAACCTTGCTCCAGATGAAACCTTAATAGTATAATTACTCACGTTTCAAAATGTTCCTCTGCTCCAATTCTTCAGCAGTTGGTCTCTGGCTCAGTCGTCTGCGAAAAAAGTCCAGGATCAGTTTTTGGACCATATCACATCATTCTCTCTTCAATGAATTCATGAGTCACTTTGTAGCAAAGCAGGTTGAGAGCAAGGTATTGACACTGTACCATTATGTATGCAGTATGTCTGCACTGTGTGTGATAATGCAGAGTACTTTGCTTTTGCAGTTTCCTCTATTTACAACTCAGGAAAACCAGAATTCATTGTGTCATGTTAAGTATGATCCTCTCACGGCCACCCAAGTTAAATCTGCTGAAAGTCAGGCTATGCAGATGCCTTCACTTCATTTCCTTCCTCCTATGCCAGTTTCCTGACTTTCACAAGTATGACAAGTACAGATGTACAGACAAGTACCTCCTCACTGCCCTCCCGCTTGCTATGCAAACCTCCTCACTGAATCCAACTTGTCCAGAATCTGGACACAAAGGCAGCCTATAGAAACAATGAGGACTGGTTAGACTGTGAAGATTGCAGAACAACAGCAGCTCTTCTTCTTTTCCTCCACCCTAATTTCCCCCCTTAATAGCATTATTGCATTTTATAATGACAAATTAACATAAATTGAAACCCTTGCTGGTCAACCTGGACATAATACAGTTGCAAGAAACAAAATCCAATTACAAGGGGATGGACTGAGATCAGAATAAATCAGAATACCTGGCATATAAAGCGAGAAGAAGTAGCACAAAGGGCATTAGAAAAACAAAGAAAACAAGATGACATAAAAACTGAATACTGTTTAGCTGGCTCCTTCTCTCATCAAAGTCAATGGGAGTTTTGTCATTAATTTCATTTGGATCAGTGACAGACCTTTCATCATCATCATCATCATCATCATTGTCATCGTCATTTCATCATCATCATTCAAAAATGGTCACTCAGAATTGTTCTGAATATTGGGCTTGATTCTATGCTGCGTACCATCCACTCACAATACATTCATTTACAAAAAGGAAATTGATGAGTCCTATCAAAATAATTGGGAATTGAGGCTGCCTGGGACATTTCAGTATCAGGTCTATTGCCTAAAAAAGTTTAAGAGATGATTTGAGGCTTACCCAGGGGGGAAGTGCAAAGAGTTCTTTAAGTAGTCTTCATACAAATCTGTGATCCTGTGCCAGTCCAATCAAAGTCAAGTCAAAGGCCTACCTAAGCCTAATGGTCCATTGGGGTTTTGTGTGCAATGCACAGCTTCTGTAGCCAGTGGCAGACAAGTATGATATCCAGCTCCTATTGATACCCCAGGTCAAATGACCAGATACCCATTTACAGCTGCAGTGCCTGGACATAAATAACCTTTGGCATAAACCCAGAGTGAGGCAATCTGGAAACATAGCAGGACACCTTAACTACTCAGGCCCAGGAGTACATTAGAGCAGTTCGAGGACCGTTCCAATTTGTTTTGGCTGCCTGTGGGCTTAAGAAGTCGTCACAGAAGCTGAGATAGAAGGAACCTCCAGTAGCCACCCCTGCTGTGCCAGAAGTATGGAGTGAGAAATGTCAAGGGTGCCACATTGTCTCTACACAAACTGAAGGGTGCCATTTGCTGGGGTGAAAATCCCATGGTCAGATGCAGTGCCCATAAAGCCAGAGTAACACTGGGGCAACAAAAACTAACCCTCAGACAGCAGATACGTAGGACCATTAGTTTTGTCTATTTGCCACAAGAGACTGGACAATTACTTCATTGGAAGAGGTGATGAAAAGGAGAGAAACACATTCTTAATTCAGAATGACTTAAGGTTTGTAAAATAATTGATGAATGGAAAGTGCTTATTCAAGTCCCACTATTTTTTAATGTTCCCGAGACAGGATAGCTGTCACAAACAGTAGCGTAACTAGGGTGGGGCGATAGGGGCAACTGCCCTGGGTGCTGATGCAGATGAGAGGGTGAAAATATCAGCTTTTGCCACAGCTGAAGTTGTTGCCACCCCTGGGTGCAGCAGCTACCCTGGGCATTCTACCACGTTCTTATATTACTGGTCACAAATGGGATACTTAGATAGATCACCTTAATATTATGACGTAATTAAAAAACTTTATAATATAATATATATTATATAACTTTATAATATAATAAAAAAACTTTCATTTCTAGTGGTGTGTAGGAATCTGAGAGAAAACCACCATACAGTTCACCTCTGCCCCGTGTAGCTCTAGTGACTGAGTTACATAATGCTTTTCATCTATCATATTGTGATTATTTTCAAGCGGATGCATCAGAGGACTGGTAAAAGCAGAGTCCAGCTATTCAGCATGTGACCATCCTCACAGGAAGAAGCATCACACAATAAAGTAAAAACAGAAAGCCATCTGACATTATGGAAAAGATGTTCCTGTAAAGATCCTTCCCTTCCGTACCAAAAGAAAATGATTTAAAGAGACCAACTGCCACACAAGGTGGGAATTACCTGTGAAGTACGCACTGAGCATTATAAGCAAATTTTTGACACTTCTTTGGCACAGGCGCAGTACCTTATAGGATTGTATCCATACAGCATGGTGGTTTATCTGTTGGAAGCAAGCCAGATATCACCATGTTCCACTTCTTGCTGTCAAACTTTACAGATCCCATGATTCCTCTCTCTCTGCCTTTTTTCAGGTAACAGGAACCATTTTTGATCTCCAGCAGCCTGGAGTTAAATTTGATATAATTTAACAAAAATATGACTTTGTAGACCTAAAGGTATAACTCATACAACCAGAGTGAGAGCAAACACGGAGAAAATTTGGAACATTGGGAACAGTGCAAACGGAGAGATTTCTCTTGAAAGCTGGAGAGAGGAAAGGCTCACAGCCTTTCTAACCAGCCTTTCCACTTTGGGGCTACTTGGGAAGCTTGGGGGCTTTGTTAATATGGCAGCAATGCGGTGTTTGTGTCAGAGAGGCTGAAGGAGCCATTTCCTTTCTTAGGCTGGAAGAGGGTGAGGCAGGGGGTTTCTTAGGCAAATGCCGACTCCAAATAGGTTGACTACTCCAGTTGCTCTGGAAGTAGGGCTGGTGAACCTTCTGGCTGCTGCACACACTACGGGAAGATTTTGGGAGAGGACATAAGAGGTAAATGGTGGCTTTGATGGAGTATGTTCCCCAACAATGCTTGTCTGTACATTGTCTCCAAGAGCTGCTGTTGCTGCTGTATCTCCAGGTCCACCTGTCTACTCCATCACAGTGAGGCTCTCCAGCTGTTTTCTGCCAGCTCTCAGGCCCAATCTAACCACTTTTCCACCAGTTTGTTCGACCCACAGTGCCTTGTTCCTTTGTCATGTGTTCCTCTTCTTTTTCCTATCTCTTTTTCTTTTCTTGCCTCAAAGATGCCCTCTGTGTCTGACCTATCCTTTTGTGCTTCTCAGAGGTCTTTCAGTGCTTTCTGAACATCTCTCCTTCGGTTGTCTTTTTTTAACTCTCATGTTCACCAGGTGCTGGGTGGCGGTTAATGCCAATTTCTTTGAGAATGCTGCAGGTGTGGAACATGCGAGACAAGAAAAATAACAAGCAGCTTTTGTTCATTGCTCTGTTTCCACGGTAACAAAAACCATGTTTTTCTTCACCCTTTCAAAAGATTCTTCCCATTCTTGGGAAATTCTCTTGTTCTTTGGGATCACAATGTATGGAAGGAGAAGGCAGTGTAGATTTGTACCTTACAGACTAAGCAACGTGTGTGTGTGTGCATGTGGCAGAAGGCCACCTCTGTTTGTCCCCAAAAACTCTGTTCTGTGACAATTTGGTTAGCATGGGCCCTGCAGAGGACACACACCTTACCCTATCTCTTTAGGCAACCTGAGCTGGATACATTCCTGAGGGAGGGGGGGAAACTTGCTCCCTCTGCCTACATGACTGGCATCACATATCCGGGTGAGGGGCTTGGGCTCCCTGGGGAGCTAGGACCTGCCAGTCTGCCCAGCAACTAGTGATGCATTTCAAATTGGTTGGCTGACAGCCAACAGGTGCTGGCTTCCATTGGACCAGGTAAATGAGGTCATAAGGGCTATATAAGTTAAGGACTGCCCAGAAGGATGGGGCAGCAGCTGTGAGGAAGACTCAGAGAGAGAGAAGAGCTGAACCATCTGAAACTTGCTCTCTCTCTCAAAACTCATGATCAAGGAACTGCCTGCCTCCAGAGGGAATCTCCACCTGCCTCTGGATGATACTTGTGAGTAAGCTACCTTAGATCTAACTAGATATATAGCTTGCAGTAACTCAGATGCTTGATCAAAGGCTACCCAGCCATGCCAGTTTGCTCTATGGGATTTCTCTGATATTGCTCTACCCTGTGCCCTATTCCAACCCTACCCCTTGTAACCAATACAGTTCTCCTTTGTACCTAGTGTGGGAGACTTATTGGGAGTGGGTCTAAATTATGCCTTGGGGTCCCCTTGGTTCAGCTGACTAAGGGAGACCACTACTTGTGCTTCTGACTGAGGGAAGCATCCCAAGTTCTTGAAGTGAATCAAGTACCCTCGAGGGCTACTAGGCCTGTGTTTCCCAGGGTGCACAGAGCCAGAATCAAGCCCAGCCCTGGATGGTGGCACTGTTACCTCCAGGCTAGCAGGTGTGCTCCAGGAAGGGGGGTTGGCCAGACTTGAGGCGCCCCAAGGGAGGCACGTGGAGCCTGGAAGGTGGTCAGGTGCACATATATATAGATATATAGATATATCTATATATATCTCACAAGCTTTTGTGGGCTGAAACTCGCTTCATAGAGGCTGCTTCTCATGGGTTGTGTATCAGACTGCTGCTATATATACTTTAATGTTAGGGAGGCTAAATAGGGCCTTCAAGGGGCTAGTAGCCATGGGGCCAGGTATCTTATTAAACAGAATAATAAGGGCAGAGCAGGGACAGGGCAGGGAGTTGTGGTGAAGCCAGGATAATGAGGAGTTGCATTTCTGCAGATTGTCCTAATGTTGGAGCACGTGCCCCTGATGCAAGTGATGAAAGGCAAACAAAAGGCTTATTTGTGAAGGCCAAGGGGAATCCAATAAGGTGCACATTG